TCCTTAGACAACAACGTTGATGTTGTTGAATGGAGTACAATAGCGCTTTCAATGATGCCACTATGTTTTTTTATAAAATAATTATGTCATTATTAATTGAATGTCAAATGATAAATTATATATATGATACTATTATGGAGACACCTTCAAATATTATTGAATAATATAGACCGAGATACAAATAAACAATTGGAGCCGTATAACCATATTATAAATCATATTAAAAATACGAGAACAATTAGAAAAGAAAAATATTTATACATCAGAATCTTTTCAAAATAAGAGGATTTTGGTTTAAATTTGTATTGTCTTCTTATTTCTTATCCCTAAATCGATCTAAGTCCAGAAAAACAGAAACATCGACTTTGTTTGGAATAACAATTAAACATTTTTAAATAAGATAAATATACCCATAAAATCCTTAAATCATCATTACATTTAATTATTCATAATATTGCTTAATTGTTGTAAACGAACTAAACACCGTCGATGCGAAGTCCTAATTGTCTCCTAGACATATTATTGACTGTTTTATTATTAATGTAGTTTAATCTTTAAACGAATGTGGTCATTATATTATACATATTGATTAACAAGGGACCACATAGATTGGGGTTAAATCACGTTAATAGTGATTATTCTCTACTAATAATGATAGACTATGGAATCTATGCAAAAATTTGATTATTGATCTTGAGTATTGGTGGTTCGATGTATGTCTTCCTGTGGAATGCTAGTAATTAAGATATAAAGTTTTTATCGATTAATTACTAGTTGAGGTTATGGTAACACCAAATTTCTTAAAAACTACAGAACACTTGCCAAATTGTAAAACTCATACTAATTTTAAATTACGTATAGAAATCAAATATTTTGACATAGTAAATCTTTAGCCATAAAATTTCACCAACCTAGCTGTCATGTTTTTTTCGTTGCCAATGTTATAAAAAACAAAACTTGAAAACTGATTTCAATATGTCATGGAAATATATAACTTTATTCCCTTATACCGAGACTAACATATATAGTAACATGCATGAATGACCAATTTTATTAGGGGGATGACTGTTTGCAATAAAAGAAGAAATGAGAAGAAATGAGAAGAAAATAAATTATGTGGGGCTAACACTAAAAAGAGAAGAAAAATTTCTACCTGATTTTATTGGAAGGAAGTTTTCCTCTAGAGAAAAAAAAAAGGTATTTGATAAAAAAAAAAAAGATTCTGTTTTGATGGCCACGTGAGAAGAAAAGAGAAGAAATATTTTTATTCTGATTGGTGTAATGCTGGAATAAAAATAAATCTTTTCATTTCTTTTATTTTATGAAGACCTTTCAGTCACACCCTAGATGTAAATTTTCAAGTTGTCGTGAACCATGTATATTATATATATATATTGATACAAAATTCAACGTAAAGAGATAGAGCATACCAACTACAATCAATAGAAGGCATTGATAAATGTCTCAAATGTGGATGAAGGAAGATGTACATTAAACTCCAAGATTGTTACTGCTTGCACCAAATATAAAATTCTCAATTTAAATGAGGCACCCATCTTCAACATTGCCTATGAACACCTATTCCATCTCTGTATAATACTACCCCTCAAGCATTTGTATTTTGTATCATAATTAAATGTATCATGTTCTGACAGTAAGGCTTTTATTGGAGTTGTTTAGATTCTGTATGATAATGTATGAACTATAATTTAGGTTGTTGTTTTTTGTGCGGATACCATATATAAACCCATAAAGCTAATCACATAACGCCATAACCCATATCATAGGAATCTCTAACCATTAATTACATTGCTGCAACTATGTGTAGTTGTTATTTATGTAACTAGAACTATCAATATTAAAGGAGATTTGCTTTCTAAACCTAAATAATCTTGTAATTATAATTGCATGTTCTCGTGGTAGCCACACAGAAACAAAAAGAGAGGCAAAAACAAAAACGATGACAAAGAAACAAAAGATGGGCAGGCATTTTCTGGTTCAGGTTCTATACATGATGACGTAATCATGGAACCCACAAAGGATATTCTCTTACACTTTGGTAGGCGGTGTCTTGTCCTACTGTCTCCTTATGGTGGACCCGTTTCCATCACCAATTACATTTTTTAAGTAGTATTAGGGGCTAATAATAATATTCGACTATAAAATTATGTTCCTTAATTATGATCATTAAGACTCATTTGAGCTCTAATCAGACATAATTATCAATACTTCTGGGTCGTATCTAGCTGCTAGTCCGTTCTGAGATGATTACCGGTAATATTTCACATATAGGATAATAAC